ACAGAATAGTTGTAGAGTGTAGACTACACATAACTTCTGCATGCACTAGGAAACCAGAAAATTCTTTTGATTCACTTTATTGGGGTGTGTGGTAGTCTGGGACAGAACCTACCATGTCTCTGAGATACAATTGTATCCCTCAGTTGGGAAGTCTGTTGGGACTTGAAATGGTAAAGCTGGTCATAAGTGTCCTGATTTTGGATGACTAGGAATAGAAAATTGATTTAAAAGACTAAGAATTCAGCATATTTATGGAGTAAATTATCTTTTTGTTTTAAAATGTATATTTCACATTTATACACTTGTAAAAAAAATTGGGATGTCTCTTTCCCTTGTTAAAGTAATTAACATGATTTAAGAAAATGTCTCACTATAACCAACTTATATCTTTTGTTAATTAGAAGAGTTTGTAGTAAATATTGATTATGTTTTTGTTGGCTGACCATCTGATACAGATTGTCAAAGACGTTCCCTAAATTTGCATTAACACCTGTCAAGTGATTCATGGGCATATCATGAGACTCCAAGCACCTTGCCTCATTTATTTTAGGTAAATATAGAATCAACTCGTATTTTTAACCGTACTGCAAAATTAATTTTAAAATGTTAAAAGCACATTTTCAAAATATACTTGTAAGAATTTTTTTTATTAAACTGAGCCTTCCTTAAGGTGGTGAGTGGGCGCTAAGGACCAGAAGGTATCCCAGAGGAGCTGGGCTGCTGCACGCAGTGACTGCAGGCGAGTCCTGTTCCCGGCTGGCCCCTGTGTTCCTCAGCTGCATTTTCTGTTCAGACAAACTCCTGGTCCAAGTGGTCAAGAGAAGAAAAGACTACACAAGGAAACCAGGTTGAATGCAAAGGGCATGATAACTCCAGAAATTAGAGATGAAAATATTAGAGTATTCCTGTTAGAAAATAGATGCAATGCCCTTCAGACTTCAGGGAGGGAAGAAGTTATGAGATTGTTTGATGATAGTGGTGGTACTTGAGTTAATCAAACATCTGGAAGGAAGTTGGAAGACAACTTATCAGCTAGGTGAAGGTGTTTGTATACTCGGAAACCAACAAAAAATTTTACCAAAAATTTATGGAGAACTTCAAACCAGGGAAAGCACAAACAAAAGCCATGGCAGGAATTTTGCCGAAATGAGTCGCATATGGCCAGTTAACATTATATGAAGGGATATGTGACTCAAGACCAATCGGAAACACTATTTTTTGTATATACTTACTTGATAAAACTTGTTCCAGTGTTGAGCAGGACCCCTGTGCATACCTCTGTTGAGTGAGAATTGGGGCAGCCCTTGGAAATGAGTTTCTCACTATCTCTTAAGGGTGAGATGCTTTCTTTTATACCTTTGACCCAGCAGATCCACTCCTGAGTGAATAGCCAAGACAGATCCTTCGGGTTTGGTGACACAAAATGGAGAGGATAGCATACTGAATGTCCATGAGGTCCCCCCACTTTCTTATTAACAATATGTCAGAATTCATGTTTCCTTTCTCTTCCTAATCCCTTTTTTTTTGATGTGACAGAGCCCAGAAATCACAAACTTACTTTCACCCATACGTATTTCAGTAAAAAAGAAAAATGGACTAAATGTATATCACAATTTACAAATTTATGATTCCCTATAATCATCTAATGTCCAGACCACGTTCACTTTCCCCTCATTGTCTCAAAATGTCTTTTTACAGTTGGTTTTTTCAAAATAGCAGTCCAGCAGGTCCAAACATTACATTTGGTTGCTGTATCTTCTAAGTCTCTTAATTTAGAATAATTCCTCTTCTGTTTTTTCATTTTATGATGCCCTTTGTAACCATTTGTTTGTAAAGAAACTTAGAATTTTGTCTATTGTAATCTCCCAGATGCTGGACTTGGTTTTATGTTGGTGGTTTTGATGGATGTATTCTCTGCCACTTGTGCTCCCTGTAGTCTGGTGACTAGACCTGTGGTGTGGAGCGGATTTAAGGTTCAGCGTTAGGGCAGGACTACCACAGAGGTGAGGCTCTCTCAGAAGGTGCCTGGTATCTGGCTATTGTGGACACAGGTGATTTTTCCGCTCCCTCTGTGAGCAGACAGACTCCCATCCACCTCTCACCTAGCGCTCCGCATCCATCAAGGAAGGCTGCCCAGACTCAGTGTTTCCATTGTAGGTTACACAGTGGTGGTCATCTCATTCTGTTATACCTTTGTTGTTATTGGCTGCACGGGCTTTTCTCTAGTGGAAGTGAGTGGAGGCTACTCTCTAGTTACGGTGCGCAGGCTTCTCATTGTGCTGGCTTCTCTCATTGCGGAGCACGAGCTCCAGGTGTGGGATATGGTAGGATCAGTGAGAAGAGCAGGAAATCGATGAAAGATGGAGCTGCTCTGTAAAGGGAGAGGATGAACTACCGTCTACTAACCACCGTGCATGCCACCCAGGCTTGCACGCACACACAGCGCGAACATGCTCACACCACACGTTCATATCACACACACACAAGGGAAAACGTGTACATAGAAGTGCTCACACACTGTGTACTCCACACACACATACACACCACACACATGCTCATAGGACGTACTCACTCACATGTACACGTGCACACCACATGCCTCACGCACAAGCCTGGGCCCCTCCCCTGGGTACACGGACAGTGGCATCTACAGGTGGGTGGGGAGCTGTCACACCTGTGTCCCACTGAACACCCAGGAGAGGTGGCATTTGCCTTAGAGCATGAGAGGCAGGTGTGAATGAGTGGAGGCTGGATGTTCCAGGGTGGAAGCAGCTCTTTTCTGGCTCCAGGAACCTGGTGAGTGCTGGCCAGCACCTGCCTCCACACAGTGGGGAATCGACCCCCACCCCCCCAGAACCTGGAAGGGGGCTTGAGAGTGCCCCCTGCTGAATTATAACCTGTTTTCCTATATGGGCTCCAGTCTCCTGCACAAGAGCCGTTATTTGGGGTCTGTGACCCCTTTCACCCTCCGCTTCTCCCACTGGCCACTGGCTGTTCTAATTCCCACGCTGCCACCCCCATGGTGCAGGGGCTTGGAGGGAGGGAGGGGGGAGGCGGGTCTGAGTTCCTTTCCCACCTGTGCAGGTGACACTGGCTGTGGGTGCCTGCCCAGCAGAGCCTCTCCCTTGGAGAGGGCTTTTTTTGAACACAGTCACAACCCTGTTATCTGGGCTGATCCGGCTCATCAGGCGTGGGTGCTGCAGTGAGGCCTGCTCCCCGTCTGCACCCTGGCTGCTGACTCATGCTCCTCCTCCCACCCTTCCTACTCCGCCCGCCCCCTTCCCCCTCCCACCCCGGTGCTGGCCAACAGCTGCAGGGGTGTGGCTGTAGACTGGTCTGGGAGGGCAGGGTGAGGGGGGGCCCAGAGCACCTGCATATGACAGGAGACTTATTTTTGCACACTGTCGGCTGGAAATAATTAACTTTATTTAAAGAGAATGTGGATTTAGAGTGTTAAAAACACCCAACAGCTTGCTGATCTGTGCTGGGGAGAAGCTGCAGGTCCATACGGGGTTGCGGGGGGTGGGGAGGGGCACATGCCTTCTGAGCTGCCCACCCTGTGATGCTTCCTGGTCAGCGCCCTCCACAAACACCAGCTCCACATCGCTCGCCTCTGCCACACGGCTGTCTTCTCCCCAAGGTTCTTCACGTTGTTCCTCTGTGCATGTCTTTGTGTCCAGAGCCCCCTCCCTTTAAGGACACAGTCGCATTGGGTCAGGGCCTACCCTAATGACCTCATTCTAACTGGATTACATCCATTTAGACAGTGTTTCCACATGAGGTGCTGAGGGTTAGGACTTTAACACATTCATTTTGGGGGACATAGCCCATAGCAGCCACCAGTTTACCAGCCCAGAGAACCTGGGCTGTGATAGAGGCCCAGCCTCAGATTTAAGGTGTGGAAGGCACACCTACAGGAGGTAAACGTGTTCTTGGCTTACAACGTTCACCTGAAAAGTGCGTCCTCATTAACCACCACTTGCAGCCCCTCCTAACCAGAGGTGAGGGGCTGATGGGGTACAGCTCTTGACCCTCTTGTATGTTTTCCTCTGCAGACATGTAGGCATGCACAGTGAGTGTGGCAGCCCACCCATCAGCCTCTCCCTCCAGGCACATCAGCTCGGTGCCGCACACGCAGAAGGGGGCTGCATGCACCTGTTGTTGGGATGGGCATGCTCATAGGTGTTGTCTCCTCCTTGACTAGGTTTCTGTCTTTTAATTTAGATCAAAAACTTAACTATGATGGACTCTCAACTTATTTTTATGTGGTGTTTTTACTATTATTAACACTTAAATTTTGTGACAAGTGTTTTATTGTGTTTTATTTTTGACATGAGCTTCTTGGCCATGCCTGTTTGCATCTGTGCTGGGTTGGTAATGCACGTACAACAAGATTCAGCTGACGGGGCTTCTTTCCTAGGCTGTCTCATAAGCACACTGCTCACATCTGAAGAAAGCTTGCAGTTCAGTGCAGTGCCTTGGCTTTGATTTATTTACCAGGGGAAGATGGAGGCCGGGGTTGGATTAGAACTGAAGTTGAGTAGCTATAGACTGAAGTTGTTTTTTCGTCCCCTCCCCCCCTTTTTTTTAAAAAGATATGCCCTGCCAAGCAGTTTATGAGAAACCAGGCACACACAAGCCCGAGGATGTTATTAATGAGGCTCTTTGGCTTGTGGACTGGTCTGGATTCTAAGCTCTGTGAAGACCAGGAGGGCCAGGCTGTGCCATGAACTGCAGTGACAGATATTTTTCCTAACCTTGAGGGTGCTACACGGTGCTTCTCCTTGGCTTTTCCCTTTGTTCCTGTGACTTCCAGGAGGCCCTAGCTGGGTGGTCAGAAAGGAAATCAGCCAGAGGGAAGGGGAGTTTTAAACGAAGAACCAAAGCAAGGTTAGGTGAACATTCTCAGGACCTGGAGACAGTATGTTCCTGGGTACCCTGTGGGCTTCCTGCCCTGCTTGTGGGCCTGGGCTGTCGTCTTATTTCTTGTTCTTTCTCAGGAGACAGGAGCAGTTCCAGAGAAACCCTGACAGCTACAACGGTGCTGTGCGTGAGAACTACACCTGGTCCCAGGACTACACCGACCTAGAGCTCAAGGTGCCGGTGCCCAGGCACGTGGTGAAGGGCAAGCAGGTAACCGCCAGGGCCTTCCAGCTTCATCTGCTCAGCTTCTTTCCTGAAGCAAAGGCTTCAGGCTGTGGGCTGCGCTGGAGCTGCTTAGCCACCAGCACAAGACTGCTTCTTGTCTTCAGTCACAAGCATGCCAATCTCCACCCTCTTTAACCACGTTAACTTTTTTTTTCTTCTTACTTATAGTATTTTCATATCATTAATAAATGATATGAAGTACTACAGTGCTTTTGCCAGTGCCTACAGAGTAGGCAAGGCAGTTGTTGTTACACCCATTTCACACTGGGGAAGATGGAATCCTGAAAGGCAAAGGAGAGAACCACAGGTTCTGTCGTGATAAGTGGACTTCAGTCCTGTGCTCTGTGGAGCTGTAACATTTATAGCTTGAGTGGATTTCTCCATCTTGGTGAGCTTGAGTGAGTGGAAATTTAATCTTTTAGTGAGAGAGAGATGTTTACTTGGGGACCTTGCTGAGAATAACATTATTATAGCTCGTTGTAAGTAGGCAGGCTTCACACTAAAGAAGAAAACTCTCATGTGAAATGGGACACTGTTACTATAATCCACAATGTAAAAAATTCTTATATATGCTAGAAACTGTTTTCTTATTGCATTTGTCATGAGAAACTACAACCTGCAAAGTAAGTGGTATCTTTCATGTTTTATAGATAAGAAATTGAGGACGAGAGAAGTTACTCAGTTATCCAAGTTGACATGGAAAAGTCACCATGTGTCTCCTTCACTCTTGCTATGCCAGGAGCAGTGAGCACTGTCTGAATGTTTTAGAAGGAGTGAGTGACTGAATGGGTGCCCTGGTACAGCCATGGTTTGATTCAGGTGTGTCTGCTTCTAAAGCTCATAGTGTTTTCCCTGTGTCCCACTCCTCTCTTTATAAACAGAAATAACTGCAGCCTTCTTTAAAAGGGACAGTCCCAGAGCATGTGAAACAAAAGTTGAGTTTCATGTACGTTTCTGAGAAACGACCACTGAGTAAAGTGGCTCCTGCTGGTGTGGATACATGTCAGATCCAGGCTTTGGGCAGTGAGCAAGCCCTTCCAGACCTTCCCCTTAGCCCACTTCTATCCTGAGGTCCCTCCTGGTCCCTTTGTGGTTACCCAGGTCTCTACCTAAAATAGGCCTGCCCTCTGCAGTAGTCTGGGTGGGGCTGGGGAAGCCTCTAGAAGACTGCAACTTCCTACCAGTGTCAGATGAATGCAGTTCATCCTGCATCATGGAACACAGGAGCAGGACCGGAGCCCCTGGGTCTTCACAGCTCCTTGTGGGTGCGTGTCAGGGCGCCGTGGGGATGGTGTCAGCTGCAGCGGCACTGTCTACACGTCTCTCCCTTTCTGTCCTTCTCACTCCAGCCCAGGAGATCTCACTAGGGCTCAGCGACCTCCTGACCTGATGGACTTTAGGATCCAGGTCATACTGGGTAACTAGGAGTCATTCCCACAGAATCCTACTTTTGATGACTGTGTCCCCCCTGACACGGTAGGTCAGAGCTGGTATAGGCTGACCTTCCTGTCAGGGTGAGTTGCCCAGCATGCTTTAGAGTTTTAGTGGGTCAGGTGTTGATTTTCCTTTTGTTTTTTTTGGTAGGATTACCTTGTATGTAGGCAAATAAATTATGAAAAGTGTTGGTTATATACTTAATTACTTGGCTAAAAATGTTAGAGCTTCCTGGTCTAGCCTGTCTTCTAGCTTCTCCATGAACTTCGGAAACTTTCTCTGGAAGGACTTTTGTTCGGCCCAACCAAAAACTAGTTATTTTTGGGAATTCTCTGGCAATCCAGTGATTAGGACTCCATTGTTTTTTACTGCTGATGATGCAGGTTTGATCCCTGATCGGGGAACTGAGATGCCACAAGCTGCACAGCATGGCCTCCCCACAAAAGGCAACCCCCCCGCCAAAACCCCAAACTAGTTACTTTCCCTTTCTTTGACTTAAGAGACCTAGGTCACTTGACAGCTCTTGCTGAGCTTCCCACGGCTACCTGGGAAGCCTACTCATTGAAAACAGCATCTCAGATGTGCCCACTAGTTACTGGGGTGTCAGTCTCATGATTCCAAGCTCTGCCGTCAGCAGTGTGTTGTGAGGGGCCTGCCCTTCATCGCATTGTGCTAAGGGATGGATCGTTATGCCCCCGTCACATCCTTGCCTCTCAGATCCACTTGTCTTGACCTCTGGGGTGAGATGGGCTCGCTTTCACTGAGGGTGGCTCTGGGTTTTGCTCATTTCTGCGTTAGACATTTACTGAGCACGTGATGGTCCCCGAGACTGGTATGAGATGACTGCACTGGAGCTGACATGTGGGGCTCAGGTAATGACGGCAGGTGCACCAGCACAGTTCCTGGCTGAGTGGAATGTAAACAGTCTGTTTGTTTAACCTGTGCCGTGCAGCCAGACACCCCTCGGGCCCTTCCCCCAGCAGCGCTTTGAGGCTTTGTGGTTCACAGGAAGAAACACAGAGAGGGTCAGGGTCTCCAGGCTGGCTTTTTCTGGAGCTCGTGCTCCCTGCACTCGGGGGTGTGTGGATGAACCTGAGTGTTTGTGATGCTGGGACTAGAAGAGGCGCATTCTTTGTAAGACATTTATTTATCTAGTGTTGGCACGTTATGATACCTGCTGATTTAATTTGCACTAATCTCCTGTGTGGTTGGATTGTTTTTTCTCTTTCGGTAGTATTTTTCTCCCCATGACATTAAAAAAAGAAAAGTATGATTGATACATAGTGTTAGTTTCAGGTGTACAGTATAATGATTTGATATCTGTGTGTTTTATGGAGTGATCACCACAATCTCTGGTTAACATCCTCACCATATTGCAGAACTTTGTGCGTGTGTGCTGAGAACTTTTAAGATACTCTCCTCAGCAACTTTCAAATTCTGTGTTTTTCTTTTAAAAATTCATGATCTCTCTAGTTTTTAATGATCTGAGAGATTTAGTCATGCCTCACTTAAAATTTGGGAGTAAGTTTATTTTGTATCTCTTGGCTTTTGCTGGCCTAAGGGTTTTTTTCTGAGTTGCCACTTTCTTTCTGGACTGGTTCCTTTTCCAGCCGTTCCTGCGGTACCTGTCAGAGCTACCTGTCAGCATTGTTTACTTCTGGTTTTTGTCTGTGGAACCTTTCAGATACCATCATGATGATACCTGTGATGGTAGCAGCTCAGCCGATGCAGTCACAGTTGTTCTGGGTTTGTAAGTAGCTCTGTGTGAGGGGGGCAGGCATGTTGGGCGTAACGGGCAGATGTGGAGGCACGGAGTGTTAATGGAGGGCGGTCCTGGGCCTCGCTTCTTCAACTATAGCTTGGTGCTTGAGGCCTCAGAAGATTGCCTCTCCTTTACTCCTTGTTGATTATTTTTTTAAGTGGAAATGGGTTTGCCTCTCAGGTGTAGTGGGGGACAGCTGAATGCATGTGAGTTATGCTTTATGTTCAAGTGTTGTTATTTTACATGCAACCATTTAAAAATTTTTGTTATTTCTATTGTTTTGCTGGAGAATCTAAAGGAAAGTTTCCCAGAATGAAGCTTTGGTCTCATTCATTCGTGAGATATAGTTAAGTCTTTGCGCAGGAAAAGCAGCCAAGTTCCCCATTCTTTGCTTAGCGTAGCCATGGAGTCGGGAGAGGGAAGTTTGCAGTCAGGACGGAGATCTTTGTGTGATTGCAGAAGTCAGCTGGGGCTGGTTATAAACATGGCCTTTCAATGAATCATAGGACTTTAATGTTGGAAAATTGGACTACAGAGATTTTTAGTCTGACCTCTCACTTGGCACATGAGAAAACTCTCCTGGAGATGTGAACTGCTAAGGCCCCACACTGTCTGGTGAGATGGTGGTGGAGCAGAGAGCAGGACCCAGCTCCCACCCCCTTCTCTGTTTGATCAGTCATCTTCTGAGTGGAAAATATCATGATATTGTTGTGCACAGTCCTGGCCAGATGACAGCTGACTAGATGACAGTGAGTGACAAGTGAATTAATTTCCTTTGCAATATTCTCTTTCCTCTTGGAGATGGTGCGTGGTCTTTACTGACTAATGAGGTCCTGCAGGCTGGTGGGCTCATGGCCATGCTGCATGCCATCTCTAGCCTCACCATGGGAACCTTCCGGAAGAGCACCAAGACCCCTGGGCATGTCTTGTACAGTGATGCTGTGCCTCCAGAGTTCGATGCAGCTGTTGGAATTTGTGCTAAAAAGCTCTGCAACACAATGTTCCCTTCTTAGAGGGCGTTTAGAAAAAAATGTAGGAAGACTTTTATTATGAGAAACTTCCATAGCAAAAAAGGCTAATAGGTTGCATTTATCTATTAAAAAAATTTTTTTTTTGCTTGAATGCATAGGACATTTACCTGTTCAAAACAATAAAAATGTAAAATGAAAAGCTTCTCTCCTGCCTCTGTCTTTTTATCCTATTCAAGCCCCCACCCCAACCTCAAAAGTCACATTACTAGTTTCTGGGATCTTTTGGCAGGTGTTTTCTTTCTTTCTTTCCTTTTTCTTTTTTTTAAAAGATTTTTTGATGGGGACCATTTTAAAATTTTTTATTGTATCTGTTACAATGTTGCTTCTGTTTTTTGTTTTGGTTTTTTGGCCACAAGACATGTGGGATCTTGGCTCCTTGACCAGGAATTGAACCTGCACCCCCTGCATTGGAAGGGGAAACTTTAACCACTGAACCACCAGGGAAGTCCTGCCAGATGTTTTCTATGTATATCTTGTCAAACATGACTTGTGACTGAACTCAACTGAACTGAATTGACAACATTCAGGAGCACTGTATTTATTACCACACCATCATTTTGAGAAAGTTACTTGCAGCTACAGATGGTACACTCCCATTCCCCACATTGGCCCTACCAGGGCAGCTCTGGTCTCATACGCTTGCTGCCCTGCTCCCCACGCCTCAGCTCTTCCTGCCAGCCAGCAGGTGGCTGCCCAGGAAAGTCTCAGGGGACCCAGAATTTCCCCTGACGTCCAGCTTCATCTGTCAGGACCCCGAAGGTGTGTGTGCCTGAGCCCACTGCCCCTTCCACTCAGGGCTCAGGTCTCTGGTTTTACTCCACTTTCACTGCATCCCTTTGGATCAGGAGTTTCTTGTATAGTGTTTTGTTTTTCTGGAGTTTCTTGCTGTCTTGCTTTTTTTTTTTTTTTTGGTCAAAAATAGTACACTGTCGTCATAAACTCAGAATTACCCAGATTCTCATTGATACTCTGTATTGTCTAGAAGTCACTCTCTGCAGACTGTTTTCACCCATGACTCCCATTTGGACTGATTATTTTCTAGTTCAATATTATATAGCTTGCATTCTAGAACTTCTTTTTACCTCACTTCTAGATTAAATTCACTGTGTTTTAGATCCTTTCTGGGATCTTACCCCCCTCCCCTTTATTTTTATTGAGATATAATTGGCATATATAATTGTAGGTTCAGATGTGCAGCATAATTATTTGAAATGTGTATGTGTGTGTAGCAAAATAATTCCGCCGTAAGTTTAGTTAACATTCACCACCTCACATAGTCACAGTTTCTTTCTTGTGATGAGAACTTTTAGTTCTCCTCTCTTAGCAACTTTTAAATATACAGGTATTGTGAATTGTAGCCACCATGCTGTACTTCAGATTCCCAGAACTTACTCATTTTATAAGTAGAAGTTTGTACTGTTTGACCCTCCCTCATCCAGGGTCTTCCTCTGTTTTAGTTTCATCCTCATTTTGTTATGTTATAGCCTCAAGTAACTTTCTCAAAATGATGGTGTGGTAATAAATACAGTGCTCCTGAATGTTGTCAGTTCAGTTCAATTCAGTTCAGTCACTCAGTCTTGTCTGACTCTTTGCGACCCCATGGACTGCAGCATGCCAGGCTTCCCTGTCCATCACCAACTCCCGGAGCTTACTCAAACTCTTGTCCATCGAGTTGGTGATGCCATCCAACCATCTCATCCTTTGTCATCCCCTTCTCCCGCCTTCAATCTTTTCCAGTGAGTCAGTTCTTCATATCAGGTGGCCAGAGTATTGGAGTTTCAGCTGCAGCCTCTGTCCTTCCAATGAATATTCAGGACTGATTTCCTTTAGGATTGACTGGTTGGATCTTGCAGTCCAAGGGACTCTCAAGAGTCTCGTCCAGCACCGCAGTTCAAAAGCATCAATTCTTTGGCGCTCAGCTTTCTTCATGGTCCAACTCTCACATCCATACAGACTACTGGAAAAACCATAGCTTTGACTAGGCGGACCTTTGTTGGCCAAGTAATGTCTCTGCTTTTTTTTATCCTTTTCCTATTTGGAACCAGTCTGTTGTTCCATGTCCAGTTCTAACTTGGTTCTTGACCTGCATACAGAGTTCTCAAGAGGCAGGTCACATGGTCTGGTATTCCCATCTCTTGAAGAATTTCCCACAGTCAAAGGCTTTGGTGTAGTCAATAAAGCAGAAGAAATGCCGTTATTTTAACCTTTCACTTATTTTGTGATTTGAGTTTGTATGGAATTCTAACTTTGAAAAATACTTTCTTTGGAATTCCCTGGTCACCTCGGATTCTGGGCTTTTGCTGCTGTGGCCTGGGTTCAGTCCCTGGTAGGGGAACTGAGATCCGGCACAAACAAACAAGCAGACGCTTCAGCGTGATTGTGGGTGTCATTCTCTTGTTTGCTTACATCCACTGTTACTGATTCTAGTGATCTCTTCCATTCTGGTTCTTTGTGCGTAAACTTTTACCCTGTTATTTAGAACTTTTTGGAACTTATTCTAGATACTCAGTGATATGAATTGTCACCTCTCATTCCTTCTGTTCAGCCCTCAGTGGTTTCTTTCAAACTGAAGGCATGTTTTTCTTAAGCACTGGAAAGTAGTTGTCTTCTTGTCATAGTTTCTGGGATGCCAAACTGATTGCCTGGATTGGTTTGTTACTCTACCTTGATTTTTTTTATATTATCTTCCAGCCTTTCTATTGAAAATTTTATTTTCACTCTATTTTTTTCTAAGTGTCTTTTGTTTGTTTTGTCTAGTTCTGTTTTCATGTTTTATTCTGGTTCTGCAGATGCAGTATCTTCTCAGGTCTCTCAGAATATAAATTGGACATATTTTAAAACTGCCTTTTTTCTTAGGTAGCTCTGTAATCTTTACCTTTTTTTTCTGTTGTTAACCTAAGTCTGTCTTTTGGGGCTGCTGCTTTTTCTCATAGGATACAGTCCTTAGTTCCCTATTAGTTTTTTTATTTAAAAAATATATCTTCCTCATTCTTTTGAGTGTGGAATGATGTTGATGGTTTTCTCCTTTACATGTCTGTGGTCTGCTCCTCCCATCGCTGCTCACAGCTGAGGGGTTGACTGGTGGTTGGGGTTGACTGGTGGTTGGCTTTGCCTTATGGTATGCTGGACCAGTGTCCACCCAGTCCCCTCAGCTGCTGGCCAGGTTTTCTGGAGCAGGGCTGCCTGTTGCTCGGTGGCACATGGCGGATTCCAGCCTCTCCTGCTGGGGCTTCGCTGGCCCAGCTGCCCTGTGGACTGACTCAGCTGTTCTGCCTCCACGCTCTGTTCTTGCCAGCTGCCAGCCAGAGGCCCCACGCAGCTGTGCTTGCCCCTGTTCTGTGTCGTCTGTCCCCACACTTTTCCTTCCTCTCCACAGAGCTGTCAAAAGCTTGTCTGTCCTGGCCTCTCCCTTCTTCCCTTGTGTTGTCTGGGGTTCTTCTGTTTGTGTTTTGTTCCTGTCATCTCTGTGGGTCAGAAGATGACCGCCTGTTCTCAGAGTGACACCTTGGACTGGAGCTGTTGGAAGCATTTCCTGCCTAGTTTCCCCTTGCTGCCTGGGTGCATCCCCTTTGTACAAGAGACAGATGTTACAGAAACTCACCCAGATTTAGAAATTATCCTGTTAGGTAAAGCTGGCTGGAGAATTTAATTTGTTAAAGTGAGCTTGTTTCTGGGAGTCCAACTGATGGAGCCTTGGTCCACCTGTCAAGTGTTCTCTGCACTTCTGAGTTCATGGTCAGGGACATGATTTGGCCAGCGATTGTCTGGATCCATCTAGGAGTGAGCTGGTCTACTGTTGGGCAGCTGGGAGTGAAGTGAGTTGTGCCTGTGCCTTAGCAGAATCAGTCGAGAAAGTGGTAATTCTCCCAAAGTTCAGTGTAAGTGGAACTTGGGCTCACAGGACCCCACTGGGGCAGACATCATTTTCCTTTCCATCACTCATTTATGGTTATTTAAAATTTAGGTAGATTATAGTATCAGATTCCATCAACGTGTGTGTAAACTCCAGTTCGAAAATTCTATGACACTGAGGGAATCTTTTCAAGTGCTTTATAAGCATTTAATAAGCACTTACCAAGTGACATGGGAGGGCCACCTCCAAACTGTTTTGACAGCTTGACTGACCCCACACTCCAGTGAGAAAGGTCTAAGTTAGCCAGACTGTGTTCATGTAATGAACACATTGTGTAAATACTATTATAAAAAGACTTTTGCATTGTAAAACACAGAATTTAGAATTTTAAAGAGAAGGTGGTGGTGATTGGGGGTGGGGGGGAAATCCCTGTAGTTCTGTTTTCTTTCCTGGACTGTTTACTGATCTGAATGTACTTGGGATGCTGCTTGTTGGGATCCACGCATGAAGCAAAGCCCATAGTCCAGCAGCTCCAGCGCAGATGTGAAGATAGACATGTGAGAGCAGAGACCCAGCGAATGAGGATATGGGAGAACAGACACAAAATGTAAAACCAGAGGACCTGGCCTCACCCTCCTGGGTGAGAGCCGAGCTGTGGCCACAGCCAGCGCAGCAGCTCCCAGAGGGAAGAGGAGCTGGCTGCTCTGGCCCCGGGCATGTTCTCTGGGGCGGGACTGCTGTGAACTCCGACAGCAAGGTGGGTGTGGGGGGAGTAGCCCCCCAACTCCAGACAGCAAGGTGGGTGTGGGGGGAGTAGCCCCCCAACTCCAGACAGCAAGGTGGGCGTGGGGGGAGTAGCCCCCCAACTCCGACAGCAAGGTGGGCGTGGGGGGAGTAGCCCCCCAACTCCGACAGCAAGGTGGGCGTGGGGGGAGTAGCCCCCCAACTCCGACAGCAAGGTGGGCGTGGGGGGAGTAGCCCCCCAACTCCGACAGCAAGGTGGGCGTGGGGGGAGTAGCCCCCCAACTCCAGACAGCAAGGTGGGCGTGGGGGGAGTAGCCCCCCAACTCCAGACAGCAAGGTGGGCGTGGGGGAGTAGCCCCGCTGCTACACCGGCCCTGCTTGCCTTCCGTCCAGGGAGTTGGTCTCCCCTTCTCACTGGAGAAGAGATTCTGTTCCCACAAAGCACCCCCTGTTTCTGTTAGGCATATCAAAACTGTAAGTGCATTCTCTTGAAGGATGACGACACAGTCCCCTTCATGTGTGAGTTGGTTGGTATTATTTTCTTGGTTCAGTGGACCTGGTGACGCTTGGCATGGTCTTGCCTCCTGTTCTCTTGCTGTGTGCAGCCAGGCGCCTTGGAAACCACTGTCCCCTCCTGTCTTGGAACACAGGGTGATTCTCTTTTGCTCTGTTCCAGGTCTCGGTGACCCTTAGCAGCACCTCCATCCGGGTGGCTGTGCTGGAGGAAAATGAGGAGCGTGTCCTCATGGAAGGGAAGTTCACCCACAAGATCAACACCGAGAGCTCCCTCTGGAGCCTCGAACCTGGGAAGTGTGTCTTGGTGAGTGTGGGCTGTTGAGGCAGTGGGTGTGTTGATTCCTGCCAGCGGGGGAGTTGCCTCATTGTCTGCCACATAGCTCAGAAGGCACCTTTGTGGGCCTCTGCTGACTCACTGCCGCATCTGCAGCCTTGGCCCCTGGGCCAGAGGTGAGTGCTGCTGACCCTCACTGGGGGTCCCAGTGCTTGGCTCCTTGAGGTGGAGCCCCTGTCAGTGAGAAACTCAGGGGCCCTTGAGTGCAGTCTGTCCTCCTGCCCACTCACAGACCACACACAGTGACCACAGAGGAGGTCCTGGCGGGGCACCATCCCCAGAGTGCGGCTGTGCTCACACTGGGTGTGTCTCTTTAGTCCTCTCTCCAGGGATTCAGTTATATCTAAAAGACAAAACCAAATAAATTAAAAACTAAAAGGCAGATCATTTTCACGAATGCCAGTCTGGAGGATGCAGAGTTAATAAGCTCAGACAGCCTTATTTGATAAAGGGGGTCTCAATTGGCTAAGCTAACTGATGGTGTGTGATACAAACTAAGGGAAATGTGTTCCAGTTACTACATTCTTCCTTCGTAAGAGCCTTGCACCTGTTCAGTGGGCAGCATGCAGGGAAGCTTCCTGCAGCAAAGGGAGACTGTATATTTGGGTTCATTCTTTTCCCTCCTCCTGGGGTGTTTAACCTGGGGCGTGGTGAAAGGGGTAAAGATGAAAAGAAAAATATTAAGTCTTTGGACAAAGAAAAGCTTCAGAATTTTATATAGAAATGTTCTTTAGGTACAGTTTCATCAAGATCTACTTGTCTCTGGAAAATAGATGCCCATGGGCCTGCCTGTTTGGTCCTAACCAGCAAGGCCCCTGGGTTTCTGTTTGGCTTCTCTCAGCTCGCACACACCCATGCCAGATGGAACAGAGAGGATTCCACCAGTGCTGGGTTGGCTGGAGGTCTCAGCATGCTCAGGACCCATGAGCACACAGAGGCCCCTCTGTGTGACAGGGGCACCGGTGGCAGAGTGCTGGCCAGGTCTGCCAGAGTCTTGTTTAGACCTTGCTCTGTTGCACATCCCCTGTCCTCCCGAGGTTTCTCCTGCTCACCATGAGCATATGACAGTTGTGATGATTTCCTCCCTCATTGCCCTGGGGTTCAGTCCCTCATCCCTTCACCACTGTGCCTCCCCACTTGCAGCACCATTCCCCAAACTATGGCCCATGTTCTTATCACCAGATCCTCCATTTGCAGAATGCCTTCGTGGTCATGGTCTCATCTGGACTTCGCCTGGTTGCAGGAGGTAGAAAGCCAGGGTCTCATTATCCCCCTGCCCACCGAGGTCATGCCAGTGGCCAGTGGGAGCCAGCGGCTGGCAGGCTACCCTCTGCAGGTGCTGCTGTGATGGCTCAAGTGGTCCCAGAAATGTGGACTCGTGATCTTGGGTGCCCTGTTGTCCACGGGCACCAGGCCTCACATCACCGATGTGGGGTTGATGGACTGCCCAGAGCAGCCCCAGCAGGCAGCTGCTGTGCTGGTCTCCCTCTGAGGGGCACTTCTGCTATCTTCAGCCCTGCCAGCCTGAGTCCGTGCCTGGGATGGAAAGACTGACCTCGTTGCTAGACCCTGAAGGTTACAGCCTCTGTTTACAGCCCACTTCGTCTGTCAGGGTTGTAATCAGGATACCGAGGATTCTCTTTACTTGATGTTACTTCTGTGAAAATGAGGTTGTTACCAGGTAGCTCACTCTTTAGGGTGTTTGTCACAAGAGGTGACACTGACTTCTTCACACCTGTTCCAGAGCCATGTCATCTTATGTGTTTTGTACAACTTAGATCTGAACACACGTGGCTTGCGGCCAGGCATTAACTCCTTGTGATTCAGGCCTCCATCTGTCATGTACGGGTACTCTGGCCTGGCTGCCTGAGGTGCCTGGCAATGCTGTTTCATCTCTTTTCATCTCTGCAAGCCTGTTAACACACCAGGATGCTGGCACTCAGGGTGAAGGGCTTGCTCAGGGTGGAGCCAGACTCCAGACCCGGAGGCTCCTGCTCCCTCCTTCTCTGACTTTCAACCGAAAGGTGCCCTGAGGGAGCAGGCAGGGGAGGAGAGCTGGTCGCAGTGTGGTGGTGTCTGAGAGAGGCTGCACTGGGCCAGCAGGGAGACCGGGGTGTCGCCGTCTCTGCCAACCTTGCTGAGGTGGCCTGGGTGGCTGGTCATGTGCCCAGGCCCCGCAGTCACCCCAGGTCCTCCTCTGGTCCAGGAGGAAGCTTGTGCCCTGGCCACCTTATAGTTTTCCAGTTTGCTTTGCCAAGCAACTGCTGCTCAAGGAGTTATAAAGGAGCAGCACTGGCCATGGACTGAGGGACACCTGTCCCTGCTATAAGCGTGGCTCAGTTCTGCTCCTGCTCACCACACGGGGTCCACATAGAAGCCTCCGGGGATTGCAGGTGCTGTGCTGGTTCTTTCCCTGGGTACCTTTGAGTGGCTTTCGTCATCTGTGGATGGTGTCACATTTCTAATGCTGCTTCACCACTTGTAGAAGGGAAAGGGGACTTGTTTAGAGCATCATATCCTCCTCTGGAGCTTTCTCGACAGCACAGGCCCCTGCTCACCTGGCGTGCACTTTCTCCTGAATTGTGGGGCTCTGCCCGTCTCTGCCTTCCTACTGACTGTTGGTAAAGCCAATGCCTGTGTGTTGTGGAGACGCTGTTACTCGTGGAGCTGGAGGTTTGGTGTGTTTTCAGTGTAGTTATTTTATTGATGACTCTGAGCGCCATGTGTCTGAGATGATACTGTAGTGCAGTGAGCACGCTTCTTGGATGTGTCAAGATCGCAGTGCGTCTGCTGCAAAGAACCAGTGCCACTCCCTCGAGCCTCTGGAGGAAGCAGCACAGCTGCCGCGGTCACCAGGCCTGCTCTCTGCCTCAGTCCCACTAGCCATCTGAGCCCCATGGTACCTCTGTTCCTTGGTCTTAGAGTGAGACTCAGAGCCTTGTGTGCTTATGACTAAGTGCCAGACCCTGTGCTAGGCACTGGGGCAATTGAGGGAAATCATCAAGGGCCCACCTCCCCAAGTCTGAGTGGACTGGAAAGGGCCCCCAGATGTCCTCACCAATCCCCAGAACCTGCAGTAGGGCCTGTTTGGAGGAATGGTCTTTGCAGATGACGAGATGATCCTGAATTATCCAGGTGGGTCCTAAATCCAGTGACAAGTGTCCTTAGAAGAAGAAAAGACACAGATACACAGTGCCATGACAGCCAGGCAAGGTCCCCCAGAAGCTCCAGAGGGAGTGCAGGCCTGCAGCGCCTTGATGTAGGCCTTCCAGCCTCCAGGCAGAGAGGATAGATGTCTTGTTGCAAGCCCACCATTTATGGGCTTTGTTATGGCTGCCCTGGGACACTCGCACAGGCTGTGTCACAAGGCACGGTTTCTGTGGGCGCCACTTGGGACAAAGGGGGTCTGCCCAGGGATGCCTATCACCTCGCCAGAGCCCATGGCCTGAGTCCTCACCTCCCAGGCAGGCTGATGCAGACATGCCCCTTGATTCCCAGCCACTGTTCCCTCCTCGCCTGAGCCGGGATCTGCATCAGACACGCCCGAGCAGCCTTTCAGAGCAGGCAGGGGTGGCAGCTAAAACCGGATGACAGTTCTTGCCTCCCTCCCTCCCACACTTGAGAATGTTAAACGAGGCTGCTTGATTCTCAAGCAAGCTCCTTTCTTGGTTACGGAGACGTGAAACCAGGGCCTCCCCCTGTGCCTCATTCTGTCCCAGAACCCGTGTCGGCTCACTGCCCTGGTTTCTCCCCACAGGCGGGGCTAATGGCCGGACTCTGGGCGCCTGCAGGCCATGGCCTCGTGCCTGTGATGCTCCATGTCTCTTGATTCGTAGCCATTTGTGAGGCAAAGCTCGTTAACATGCTGACACGACCCACACTCGAGTCATTTAAAGTCAGTTCAGGAGCTGCAGTGTTTGCAGACCTTTGTCCACTTGTCTTAAGCTCACACTGCTGTGTGTGTGATGCCTGAGCCTGGGAGTGTTTTAATGCATGCTGCACCCCCATATTTAGATGATTTCTTTAAATTACAGTTCTCAGAAGTGGAGTTACAGGCTGACTGTTGTCCTTGGCCATTGCCATGGCTCTCCCCGGAAGGATGTCAGATTTCTGTGACATCACCAGGCCCCTTTGCGCCCTAGCGCTGGGCTTGTTAATTTTAACTTGTCTTTGTTGACTTATCTGCATTTCTCCCATTTGTTCCTTTCCATTTTTCTAGGGAGGATATGTGTTTCTCTGTGAAGTGGCTCACCATCTTTGTTTTGTCGTGGGTGGCCACCTGCCCCTTTCTTGGCCCTGAGGGACCATTGTTCAGCTTAAAACACAGGTTAAGTTATGTTAGTATTTTGGCAAAAGCCCAAGCCTGGAAATTAGTCCAGGGAGTGAAATGCAAGTTCTTGGCTTTCAGTACCCATGTCTCCCGGGACCCATCATGTTTCTCAGGCTGGTCACATTTTTGGCATCATTGCCAATCCCCAGGTCCTAGCCAGGAAGAGCTGAGGCCTGGTGTTGAGAAGTAGGTGGCCTAAGGCATCATGTTCCGGCAGCGTTCTGGAGAAGTTGCCCAGTGAACAGGAGGGATGTGCCAAGCTGAACCAAAGGACCACGCTCCCGGTGGACAGAGCAGGCACCCCCCTCCATCCCACGTGGGAGGAGAGAGTGGAGGAAGCTCAGCGGCCTGTGGTCACTGCCTCCCAGCCACGCCCCCATCACAGCCAGCTTTGTCCAGCCCTCAGTGCTTTAATGGTAAAGCTTAAGAAGTTTGTTAATATCAAAGACTGGGAGATTCCCCACAATGGTACTGCCTCTGGCAAAGCCCTGAGAGGTCAGTGGTCTGGCTGGGGATCAAGTCCTTGCCGGAGAAGTGCCTGGAGCTGAGCAGGCCCCCTGCTGTCTTTGCCTGTCCCCTGTCCTGGTTTCAGAGCAACCCCCTGAAACATCACCTGCAACTTTCATGCACATCTCCTTGG